TCCTCTGGGAAATGTATTTCAGAGCTGGTTTTTCATCTCCCCTGGTGATTTGCCAACAACTCTAGGACATTTGTAGGACAGCTCACAGCAGCAGGGCTGATGATGAGACAGAAAACTCAACAGCAAAGATGTTTCTGCCATTAGCACATGGACCTTTAGGCAAGTTACCTCAATCCTTTGTGGTTTTATGATGTGCGCAAGACAAGAACCAGCACATCAATTCACTGCAGTCTCAGAGGGGAGTATAGTCATTGGATGACAAATAGAAAGAAACCTCCTGTCATGGACAGTGCCCCAAAGTACCAGAAGTCACTTCAATCCCTGTAAGCTCACAAACTCCACATGTACCTGTGTGCTTCCAGGTGTCCGGATCCATTAGTCTTGGAACGAATGCAAAGTGCAGAGTTGGACTGAAGTTTGGGCTTCAGGCAACTCCAATCCGCTACTAAAAAATCGTAGAATGGTTTGGGTTGGAAGGGATGTTAAAGCCCATCTCATTCCACTCCCTGCCATGGGCAGGGACACCTTCCCCTAGACTAAGGTGGAGGTCACTTCAAGTCCTGTCCCAGCTGGCCTTGAACACTTCCAGGCATGGGGCAGCCACAGCTTCTCTGAGCAACCTGTGCCAGGGCCTCCCCACCCTCACAGGGAAGAATTTCTTCCCTCTATCCAATCTAAATCTACCCTTCTTCGGCTTAAGACCAATCCCCCTTGTCCTTTCCCTATCCTTGTAAAAAGCCCCTTGTCGTGGTTTGGACCTTGTTTTCCCCCAGAGGCTAAGAAAAATGGTAGACCCCAAGGGGTGGAAACCCCTGGAAGTTTTGAAATTCTGCCCAATGGGCGCTCCTGCAAAAATGTCAACATCCCACAAGCTCACCGGAAGAGATGAGTTGTAGTTTGGTTGTTGTTGGAGAGGTGGCCATGTTGTAGAGCCACGAGCAAGGGGCTCTGAGCCCCTTGGGCCCTCTGGGGCCCCCCAGCCCCTGGCTGGGGGGGGACTGCAAAGACCTGGAACAGTGCTAGACTGGACTAAGTGTCTGTAGTTAAGTCGGGAGATGTTTTCTCCATGGGCGCAGAGCAGCAGACGGCACTGACCAGAGAAACGGTGGCAGAGAGCCAGGATAGATAAAGACCTGAACCGGAGGAGCAGCAGAAACAACATGCAGCACCGCAGAGAAGACTCCTGGAAAGGGAGAGAGAGAGAGAGAGAGCCAGCAGCTGAGAGACAGAGTTCTGGGGGTAAGACTGATATCAGATTCCCCCAAACTCCTTTGAGACCTCCGAGAGAGAAGGAGGACATGGACTCCTATTTAGGAGAAGAGTTTTAGACATGCAGCACCGGAGAGAGAGAGAGGAGTTGAGAAGCTCAAGAGACGTCCCGGAGCTGGACCGGGACGGCCAGATGGAATGTGGAGGGAGTTGACCTTGGCTTCCCCCCCCTCACACTGCTGCCACGGTGGCAGCCTGAAGACAGGGCACAGAGGCCCTGCAAGGAGCTTGGGTCTCCTGGAGATACCAGACCGTCACGAAGACCCCCCTGTGTCTTCATGATATGACCGTGGTGATACGACCTTGTCTGGGGTTACGAAGCCCACGGAAGACCCCTTTGCCTGCGTCAAGGGGCCGAGGGAGCTTGGATACCTCCCTCGTGAGTGCTGGTAGAAATCCAGCCACAGCTGCTGCATGCATGAGATGAGGAGAACCTGCTGCCTTAGAAGATGCTGCTGCTTAAGGACTGGAAGGGATCTGTCCTTCTTTCCCTCCTGGACTTTTATTTGGAGGGGAGAAGAGATCTGGTCCATTGTAAATACATATGTCATGGTAGAGATAGTTGTGATCGTGTGTATAATGTGATATGGTATTTATTTGTACAGTCATTGTAATATATTCCCTTTCCCCCACTTTGAGTCTGGTGTGTTTTGTCTGGAAAAACCCATCTCACATTAGGTTGAGATGTGGGAGGGGGCTTAGACTAGGGAATTAGATTTTGGGGCTATCTCAAACCATGACACCCCTCTTCAGTCTTCTTCTAAAATCACTTAGGTGAGCATTGGAACTGAGTCCCAGGTTTATGGTTTGGCTCCTCGTAAAGACAGGCCCACTTACAAAACTCAGCCCCAAGCTCAGCATTTGGTTTCCAAACATGCTGAACATTGCTTTGGTTCTCTCTCTTAATTCCCATCATCTTTCTCTTCCTCTCTTTATTTACTTCTTAATTTCCCTGGGTCTTAATTTCCTGCCCCTTGAGCCCTCCTGCGCCCAATCCCTGCCTACGTGGTATTGACTCCACAGCTTTTCCCTCTTCAGGGAGAGTTCAGGGATGAAGGTTGGTGTGGGGAGAAGAAAGGCAGGAGCAGACAGAGAGGGAGCTGTCATAAAGGTCTGGCTGTGAAGCCTCTCTGAGAGAATGCCACTTGGGGAGGCTGTAACAGCTTTAGTCTGCAGTACAAGGGGATTAAAAGACTAGTTCTCACAGGACAAAAAGGAACGGAAGGAGCAGAACAAGGGCAGAATGAAGCTGCAAGGGGAGGAAAGGAGAAAGTTAAAGAGCTCAGCTCTAAAGAGCACTGGGGTTTAAAGAGCTCCAGTTGGAGCGTAAAAAATGTGAAGTGGCCTGCACAGAAAAGGGGCTTTGGTCAATGGTTCTGCTTTGCTTTTTCACACTAAGCACACACACTTCAGGCTGCTTCAATCAAGGTAATTTGGGATGTTTGGCTTTGTTCATTTTCAGGGGCAAAGGAGTAGGAGGGGGCAGCAGAAGGTTAATGAGGCTCCACCAGATGTGACAGACACTCGAAAGGAGCAGTGGCCATTCTGTGTTTTAAATAGCGGCTTATGGCTTTGATCCTCACCCCTCCTGTCCCTCAAACTCCCCTTGTCCTTGAGGGCCACGGAAGAGTGAAGGGGTCTGGGAACAGGAAGGAAGTACGTGGAATTGTGGGACACCCTCCTCAAGTGCTGCTTGAGCAGCCTTTTCACCCCTCCACGAGGCCTGGAGATGGAGAGTGTGACTGAAAAGGTAAGGAAAGAAGGAGACTTGAAATGCTTTCCAAAAGAAAAGAAAAAAACCAAAACCTCAATGCATCAATTGCAGGACATGTAAAGGCCAAGGAGCCACCAACATGGACAAGCAGCTGCACTCCAACAGGGAAACCTGGCACTCCAAAACTTCTTGGAGCATTGCTCAGGTATTGCAGGAAATGGGGCTTCTTAGGGCTGGGTAACCTCAAACCAAGGACTGCTTTGCCAGATTAGCAAGGTTTGGACATGGCCAATATCCTTGTGAATAATATAGTATATTCTTCTCAAAGACAGGAGGATTTTTCCAGTTTAGTCTTCAAAAACCTTTGAAGCAATGGCAGCAGAGGAAAGTGAGACACCACCCCATGAGTCCAGAGTTCCTCCCATGAACACACACCTGAGCCTAAGGCACTCAGAGAGTAGAGAAGCAGGTTTCCAAGCAGCCACGGGACTGTAACATGTTCTCTCATCTTTGATGTGATCCATCTTCCCAGCTTCACAGGCTTCCAAGCCAGGAGAGATGCTTCAGGCACAGTCAAATGTCTAAGGCAGGTTTTCCAGGCTATTTCAGCAGCTCAGCAGAGCTGGGGGCTGGTGGTGCTCTGTGCACAAATTCTACTCAGAGGGGAAAAAGGAAAGACTTTGTAACATAATAAGCAAGTTCCAGACAGGAATTAAGAGTGCAGCACATCCAGCGGAGACAGGGGCTCGAGTGGCATTAAGGTAGGAAGAATATAATTACCTGCCCTGGACTGTGGCCAGGATAAAGGTATTAATTTATTTCAACAAAGTCACAAGTGCCAAACCCTGGATTTTACATTTAAACACAGATGATAGCAAATCACAGCACCCTGATTCTATTCTTCCAACTTTTGGCTGGAAGGGACAGTCTTCCTGATAGGTTTTCATCCCTAATGCCTACCTTGAGAGCTCACCCTCAGCTTCATTTGGGAAGATCAATGCCATCCCAGTAGCTATGGATCTGCAAGGCAATCCCTGCACCTTGCAGGACAGAGGAACATCTTCCCAGTCCCCACAAATCGCCTGCAGGAGGTGAAGCCACACTCGGTGTCAAATTCAGCCCCAAGTTCGATCTGGTATTAATTATCCCCTGCTCTGATGAGATAAATGCTTAATCCTCTGGCTGTTGACACTGGAAATGGCCCAATCCACCCCGGGGTGGATATTATCCCAGGGAACTAGGCTTCAGCCACGATTCCCACATCATGTGCCATACAAATGTTCACTAGCTTGCAGGGAATGGATTCCATGGGGTGAACAGGATCCTTCTGTGGCACAGCTAATCCACAATAATACATGACCCAAGCATTGATTGTATCAGGTTTTTCTTCCTCCATTTTTTTTTCCTTCAACATAATATTTCAAATTTCACATGGAATTTCTCCTTTTCAGACATTCCCTACCTCCTTAGAGCTTACCAGCTTTCCTGCTCCAAAGGGAACTTCCTAAGTTCCACTGCCCCAGGGACGTGGGGATGGGTCTGCACAATCCCTGCTTCTCTGGGAGTCTTTCTCTGTCTTCCAGGAGAAAGGCAATAGATCTCCACATGGCTTCCCTGGTTTCACATTCCCTGGCAAGGCTAAACCAAGGAGTTTGTGTTGCAGGGAGAAAGCAGGAATGCTGATGCTGCCAGAGGTGGGAAACTGTCCTAATTCCTGATGAAGCTGTTAAGGACTGTGGTCTTTCCCGCGTCTGAGCGTGTGTGTGCCAGAAAGGAAAACCACTGTGTGCCAGGAAGAAAAACCACTGTCCCACACCCACTCTCACCTGTCCTGCATTTTGTGACACCTGGGAGATGCTTGTCCCCACCTTCCCACTGCCACCTGGCCTTTCTGGCTTCTCCCCTACTTGCTCTTCTCTTCACAAGGGCTGCCTTATAGACAGTTGCTGATCAAAGGCAAATTTCACACCCAGACAAAGAAATAAGTTTGAAATAAAATATCACTGCACACAGGTACTTGGGAGTGCAGGTTTGCTTCCCATTCAACAACAAAACAGGTTTTCGAGACAATTCTACCCAGATTCAAACAGCAGCACCATAAACAGCTGATACAAAGGGTTGAATATAGGAAATACAATGGGGAGTCAGTGCATGGTGGGACTTTTCCCCCTAAAGACACAATTAAACAACCAAGCTTTGTCTCAACACAGGAATGTTTAGCTTAGAGTGGTGCCCTGAAGTTCTTACCACTGTATTCTGTTGTCCACAGGAGCAGCTCCTGCTTCCAAGGAGCTTCCAGTCAACTAGGGGGAAACTGAGGCAGGGGGAAATAAATTCTTTCCTCAATGCCACAAAACCAGCACGAAGTGAGATGGAAGAGATCACACACATGCAGAGGGACCCTGGAGAGCTGTCCCCCACCAGAAGCACATGCTGCTCTATATGTAACGTGACACAAGGCTGCAACTCTTTGAGATCAAACCTGGCTGCTCTCCCCACCCTCCCTTTAGCAAGAGGTGGCTGAAGTGTTCTGCAAATTCCTTCTACAAATTCCTGCAGAAAAAGGGAATACGACACATACAGGGTGAACTAAAGTTATTCTGTCAACCTTGCTTGTTTTACCAAAGCAGTTTTTCTAGTCTTAGTCCAATGGAAATAAACTTCCAGCCCATCTGAATGCAGAAGTTTGCCTTTGCCATCGTTGTGCTCAATTTAATCCCAAAATTACAGTGAGGCAAAGAACTAGCAGGACAAAAAAGCTGAGCTTTTTATTGGATTTTTTTATTCCTTAACAACAAGATCCAGAGAAGGGGCTATTTGCTCCTGGGCAACTTCACCTCAGCTGTGAGACCAGACCAAGGAGGGAATGGGAGATTGAAGCCCAGCCAGTGAGAGCATGAGAAAGGGCTCAGCCTAAACGAGACAAGAAAGGGGGTTCTGGAGATTAAAACAAAGATCTCGCAATCCAAACTCCTAGGTCTGTTTCCAACTCTAATACTGACTTCAAAGTGCATGTAAGTAAATCTACTTCATCTCTCTCTGCCCCAGCTCCTCCCACGTAAATAAACACAGAGGGGGATGTTCCTGCTGGTACAACCCCAGATCATGGCTACACCATCCCAGCAAAGCATCAGCTCCCAAACTGGCAGTACCCACAAATTATTTCCTGAATATTCAGTCATTTGCATAATTGCAGAGATGAGGTTTAACAGCAGGGATAACTTGGGCTTCCTGGCAAAGGAGAAGCATCAGCTCATTCTTCCAGTGCCATATCCAGTGTGTGTAAGGACTGTGCTAGACTTTTGCCCTGACCTGGAGCTGGCAGTGCATAATTTACAGTCCTTAATTTAATCCTTAATATTATCCCTAATTAATGACAGACCAGGGTCCTGGAACTCCAAACCACACAATTAATTAGGAAGCAATAGCAAACAAGCACAACAAGAGCATCTGGGAAGGCACCAAGCACAACAGGGCTCTGCTGCATCATCCCTGGCCAATGGCTCCTGCTCCCACTCCTGACAGCTGGGGCAGTAAATGGAAGCAACAGGAAAAAGAAGAGAAACGAGCCTAGCAGTGAAAGACAGGGTGAAGCAGCTGCTCTCCAAGTAGGTATTTAAGGATATATTTGAGCCCTCCTTCCCAGTAATCTCTGCTTTGGGACTATCCCAAAGCACTCTCCAACTCTTTGCCTAATACACTTTACGCCTCCCTCCTTTTCCAAGCAAGTGGCCAATCTACCATCTCCCAAGTGTTACTGCTGAGAAACGGCTCTGATAAAGTGATGCAAAACTGCTTTGCTTCATTATATTGGATTTTGCCTAATCTTGGCATGTCCTTAGAGCTCCCTAAAAATATATTTGCAGACAGCAAGCCAATCCCTTCCTGTATTTTCACAAAACACACAGAGGCAGGAAGCAGCTCACACTGCTGTGGGTCCATTATTAAGCAGCTCTTCTGGGAAGAGCAGAACAGGCACATTGGAGCTGCATTGCCTTCCCTCCAAATGTGCCATGGAGCATACAGCTCCAAGGAACAGCAGGCAGTCTCTTCCCACCTGATACTCCACGATTCTATGAGATGAAATGCCTCATGTAGTACTGTAACAGACAGTAGCTGTGATCCTGCATGATTCCCTCTCCTTTGATCTGTAGAGAATGCCTTGATCAGCCACATCCAGCACTGCTCAGATCATATTTCTCCCAGAAATACACCAAAAAAGATCATCAATCCAGTCTGTTGGTGCATTTCTGTCCTTTTGTACTGAGACCTGAGCAGCATTAGCTCACAAACCACTCAAGTCTTGGACAACCTGGGGAAGCAGCTGCCAAATCCATGTCCATTCTGTGCCAGGTAGGACATGGTGACCTGACAAGCTTCCCAGAGCCCCCTGCACAGAACTATTGCACAGCAAACCAAAGCAGGTGACACACAATCAACACCAGAGCTCAGGTGGTACTCTCAAGCCCTTTGCACAGAACTATTGCACAGCAAACCAAAGCAGGTGACACACAATCAACACCAGAGCTCAGGTGGTACTCTCAAGCCCTTTGCTGTGATCTGACCCACTGGCTGTTCATCCCTGGCTGTTCCCTCCTCTTCCAGAACTTCCCGTGACAAGCACTTTTGTGTGGGAGCTGATTTCCTTGCTGTGTCACATATGGGTCAACTTCTTTTCTCCTGTGCCTTCCAGGTGACAGCCCCAGGGACTAAAAGGTGACTCAGAAAGGGAATCCTACAGTCTAGCCAAGCTGCCATTCCTCCTTAGCCTGAGGAGAGTTCTCTTTCCCAGGATCACAGTCCACCTGCATCCTACTGATCAGGCAGATGATGAAGAACTAGACCATGTCAGAGCAGCGGCAGTGGGAAGCAGCTGATCTTTGTCACTAAGGCAGGACAGCAGCTTTGATTCCTGCACTGCTCTCACCTCCCAGGTATTTGGGCAGCTGGACACTGACTTCAGGACTATCACCAGATCTCCACACTCCATTCCCTCCCCATCTTCTTTCTAGTAACACCAACTGGGCATTGCAGGCACAAGGCAGGATGATTAAAGAGCAGGGACAGCATTTCCCCTCCCTTCACCTTCCTGCAGGAACAACAAGATCCCATCACATCAAGTCTCTCTGTGCCAGTGCCAGGTGAAGCCCGATGCCACAAAAGCAAATCTTACGTGCTATCTCTGCCTTCAGATGTTACAGTTGTTCAGAAATATGGGCAAGACTATAGGGTTTGTGAGCAGCCTGAATATCCTTCTCCAACTGCTCAGGCATCTTCATTCCAGGCTCTCCATCAGGTCAGCAATGGAACAGATACACAGTAGATGTTCAGTCCCTGACACTGAGTTTAATCCACCACCTGGCCAGAAGAGAGAAGCCTGGAAGTAGCTTCCTTTAGCACTGGCTGGAAATATTCTGTACAAGAAGCTCCCAGACATGGTTAGTAAACACTGAAAATCAAATCATCCCATGCCTGTGGCTGCTTCTCTCCCCCACTGCTGGCTCGACCAGTCCTACTGCTTTGTCCAGTCCACCATAGGCAGATGGTGCCACAGTTGCAGCCTTGGGCTCCTCACTGGAGCCCTTCAGGACCAAGAACTCCAGCAGAATGTCCAAGAGGCAGAAAACCAGGTGCCTGAAAGAGAGAGAAGACAAAGCTTAGGCTGGTCAAGGCACAGGAGGCAAAGCTCACATGAGGAAGGTGTGTTCTGACAGCCATCAGGGGAAAGAGGAATGATCTCAGACCCTGGAAGAAATGTTTTAAGGGATGATTCAGCTTTTATTCCACCTCCCCCAAACCCTTCAGCGTGCGTTGAAGCTGCTGAGCAGCACAGAAAACACAAACACACCTCCTGGAGGGAGGTGGCACATGTGTTTCACAGGATCGCTGAGGTTGGAAAAGACCTCTGGGACCATCGAGTCCAACTTTTGACTGAATGCCACCTTGAGCACTGAGTGCCATGTCCAGTCATTTCCTAAACCAGGAATGGGGACTTCAGCACATCCCCAGCCAGCCCCTTCCAATGTTTAACAACCCATTCAGTGAAGAAATTCCTCCTGATGCCCAGTCTGACCCTCATTTCTCTGCAGTCCATTACCAAACCCTTGCTTTCCAAACTCACAGCGCTGGGCATAGACAAAAATACCCCCCTACGTTGATCTGCAGCTCCTCCAAAAACAAACTAAACTAGGATTTGTCTTACTTCCCTGACATCCCCTAACTAAGCAGGCCTAACAACATAATTAATATGACTCAATAACCTCCAGCCAGACCAAAGTCCTGGACATGCAGCCTCATCACAAACAAGCCAGATGCCCTCTAATACTGCAAGTCTGGGATAATGAGCCGGATAAGTTTCGTGCCAAGCAGCTGGAAGCAGGAATTGCATGGCAGAGCCCTGAGCACAGCTCACAGACCCCATCAGAGGCCATCAGGGTAAAGACTAAAATCCACATACCTGTTTATCACAGGCTGGCTCAGGGACTCCAGCACCAGGTTCCAACTCATCCGACACTTGCTGGTCCCAAGGATTTCTTGGATCACATCTGTAAAGAGACAGTGCTTTAGGAACTGCACATTTCCACAGGTCAGTTTTCTCCTGGTGGGTGCTGAATCGCAGCTTGTGATGGTGCTCTGAGCCCGAGGCATCGCATGCCCAGCATCACCATGACAGGGAACAGCCAGGGACAGGACGGACTGCCAGGAAAGTGTTCCAGGCTGGAAGGGCACATACTGGCAGTGCTTTTTGATTACCAAAGGATAGTGAGGGCCCCTTACACTGCAGCAAGGAGTTAAAAATTCAGACTGTACTCACATGGATTAGCCAGCAGGTGCTTTAATGCCTAAGGTCCCCAAGTCAAACTTCAAGAGAGGGAAATCCAGTGCAACTGGGCTCAGGATTTCAGTCCAGTGGAAAAGCCGCAGGCTTTGCCTAGTGACTCTTCTCTACCATGGGACCCTTTGGCAGCAGGTGGGAGCACAGTGTGCCTCTGGTTTTCCTAAGCCCTGCCTTGGGTGAGGTGGCTTGGCAGGAACTGCGTCACCACTCTAAGCATGGAATTGCAGCCAGTCCCCATGTGGGAATCACCAAGACACCCGTCCTTCTTCTCTGAGCTGTGCTGCTCCCCAAATACTTATGCAAACTATCCAGAACTGGGAAACTGATTTTTGCTTGCAGGAAACCATTCAAACTTCAAGGGTCATGAACCTTTCCTAGTGCCTTGGCACAAGCAAACTCCATCTGAGTGTTTAACCACATTTCCACAGATTCCAGTGCACTGGAGGCTTCTCCAGCCACTTTTCTTTCCCAAGGGCAACTGACAAGTCCCTGGGACACACTTACTAGGCAAAATCCCCATCAGGCTCTGCAGGGCCTGATCTGCTGTTGCCTTCTTCTGCTCCTCTGTCCTGGGGGGTTTAGGCACTGCTGGTAAAACTCCTCCGGGCCAGATGGATTCCTGGAGCAACTGGAGGTACTGGACCCAACGCTGGGTGCAGGTCAGGTTAAACATCTGCACTTCCAGCCATCTGTGGGCACAGGGAGACAGAGAAAGGTTAGGAAAAGTCAGGCTTGGGACCAGGTCAGGCTATTTCTGCCCATCAGGAGCCCTGGAAGGGTTAAATCAGCTCGCTGCATTCGTTAACATGCAGTTTTCAAGTCTGCACAGCAAATATTTTCTTAAGTATTAATTAGCTGAGTTTCCCATGCACCAGAAGTAGGATATGATCCCTTTGTTATGGACAAACGTGTGTAAAGTCACAGGGGAAAAGCGAAGGCCATGAAAAGCTCCATCATCCTGCTAATCACAGGAATCCAAGTGAATCACTGATTCCTAATGGAAGCAAAGCTAAGGGATACAACTGGCCTGAAGCTCATAAGTTATCTCCATGCACAAGCCAATACAGAGATGGAAAAACTGGTGTTTTAACTAAAAACAACACCCAGGAAAGACTGGAAGGACATAAGCATGTTCTGGCAGCCACTGTTCCTCTCATCAGTCCCTCTGCCACCAAGACAGTCAAGGATGTCTTGCCTGGAGACCAAAACAAGGTCCAAGGATGGCAAGTCATGAATATCTTACTGCTTTGCTCTGCTCTTGGCCCTCTGCTTTCCTACTCTTCACACCTGCTCCATCTACTGATGGCAAGCAATGGAATCGTAGAATCACAGAATGGTTTGGTTTCGGGACCTTAAAGACCATTTTGTTCCACCCCCTGCCATGGGCAGGGACACCTTCCAGTAAACCACATTCCTCCAAGCCCAACCTGGCCTTGAACACTTCCAGGTTCAAGGGGCAGCCATATGGGGCAGCCATAGCTTCTGTGAGCAACCTGTGCCAGGGTCTCACCACCCTTATAGTAAAGAATTTCTTTGTTCTCATCCAAAATCCAACAGAATTGCTGGTGGGCCCTCCTGCTGGGTCAGGACTGTGTCCTTTATACACTAACAACCTGCAGACCCCGAAATGCTGCTCCACAAAACAGGTTGGAGGCATTTGCAGCTGCACCGGGTTTGTCCCCACCAGACAAGTGCTGGGAGAGTTTCTAAATCAACCATATGGACCCTCTTTCCTGGATGTGAAATCCCTTCCAATATAACAGCAAAAGCCAGAGCTGTCAGTCAGAACCTGCCACTGCCTGAAATCTTTCCTCTCAGAATTAGGAGAGGCTATGGATGAATCCCTGATGCCACAGGGTTTTCCTGTGGTCCCCTGGTTTAGCAGGACTTGGCAATGAGGGCCCAGTGCCACTGTCCAGGAGGCTTTGGAGCAAAGACGGGAATACCGGCACAGTGCTGGGGTAGGGAAAAGGCTTGTGATTTTGCCAGTACTTCAAGATTCCCAGAGCAGAGGAGTCGGCCAGCAGGGCCAGGAGACCCATTCCTCTTGGCAGCTGGTGTTCGTGCTTGCAATTCCATCACCACTATTCCCCAGCAGCTCCCAGTCCATTCAAGAGCACAGGCCCTGCCAAGGCAAACTTTATTTAACCTGCGCTCTGCCAGACTGTCTGCATTCTTCCCAGGCGAGCCATTCAGGTCAAGGGTGTCTTTACTTGGGCTAATGTGAGTGGAGAGTCGGGAATAGCAGCACCTAAAGGTAACCAGGGCAAAGGAAGCAGGTTGTCATCAGGGACAGTGCGGCAACGTGACGTTCCCTTCGTCAGCAGGAAATGAGGTGCCAAGCTGCAAGTCTTGAGGGACGAACATCCAAGAAATGTCCATTAAAAATCTGAAAAGGAGCCTTGGTGCAGCAGGAAGGCCTCGTATTCTCAGATTAAGGTCCTACTGGAGCATGGGCAATGATCCCAGTGATCCCACTAATGGGAAGACACATTCTTTATGCTCAGCCTCACCAGGGACCACACATACTGATGTTGCTACAAGATAAAGCCAGAGATCTGAAGCTTCCACCTGTCTTAGAGGACAAAGTGTCCCAGTCTTGCCTGGGAAAACCCATGTTGGAAATACAATTAAAATTGTTTTAATCTCCAGCCATCAGCAGATTTTAACACTTTGGATCGTGTTAAACCCTCCAGCCATTCCTAACCAAATCAAAGTGTTAAACTGTGACTTTCCCAGGGCCAAGAGCTTTCACTAACATAGTTTTTTATTAACATGTTTTTCTACACAGCCTGCTTTCCTGGCTGAGAAAATATGTGACAAGTAACAGAAATTCAGAGCCTTGGGTGCAAACAGTCAACCTGCACCAAGGAGATCAGATTGAACATTGACTTGAACCTCATTACAGCAATAGCCACTTTCCAGCGTTAAAAAGGTTGCAGAATGCAAAGAATGAGCTTTCTTTTCCTTAGAAACATTCCTAAACCAGCAAAAAATAAAGAAAACACTGAGCAGAGAGAAAGCTGAACCTAAAGACAGCACATGTTTCCAGGCAGTTCAAGGGCAAGCTGAGAACTGATAAATGCTGGAAGGTCCCACACAAACAACATCACATTTTCAGCCCATTTATTTCCATAAAATCACCACAATTAGGCATCAAGACCTATAAGTAACACCAATAAATCTCATCATATGTGCACATACTGTGATTAGGTGAGTGCTCACAGGTCTTGCATCTCACAGTTGTGAAACACCATTGATGGATTTTCTTCCTTAGTCTGGCAGCTCACTGCCTTCCACTTTGGGAAGCAAAGGGCAGGATCTGGGAACGGCTCCATGGGTCTTGCACCAATAAATGCCACAGCTCCATGCAAGTTCCTGAGAAGAGGTCAACTTGCCCCATCACATGGCGCTCAGACAACTGATGAAGAAGCACCCAAACGCACAAGTATACAATAAAAGAAGGAATTAAACAGGAAAAGGGACAAGAAAGAAGGAGAAAACAAAGCTGGGTGCACATGACACAAAGACTAATGCAACTCTGCTCTGGGTCCCCTTTTGCTAGTCTACCAGGGTGTGGAGCCATTCCAAAAGCACCAGGAGAAGAACTGTCTAGACTGGTCCATCTGGCTCTAAATCCTCCCTGGGAGAGCAGCTGATGCTCTCAGATACTTCAAAAGAAAATATCCAAACCTGCCACAAAGAGTTTTCCAACCTCCGCTCAACCTGAATGTGTTAAAGTCACCACTGACACCCATTTGGAGGGAATAACATTCCATTTGCACAACATGCACAGGGGGAGCACCAGGAGCATTTAAACTGTGAGGAGCAAAATAATTCATAGAATCATGGAATATCATGAATTGCAAGGGACCCACAAGGATCATCAAGTCCAGCTCCTGGCCCTGCACAGGATACCCCAAGAATCCCACCTCAACTCCCACTATTGTTGTTGCAGCTCAGGGAGGGTCACACCAATGTTATTGAAAATTCTACCTGAGTAAACCCCAGAAAATGGCAAACTGATTTTTCCACCAGGCAGACTTGCTGCACCGGGATGGGGATTAACAGCACAGGAACTCCAAAGATTTGCTGGTTCAAAGCTGACCTTCGCCAGCAGGTCACAGATGATTTTTTATGCTACTAAAGGCCTGAGCATTTGAGATCCATGTGCCACATTGAAAGCACACACAGGCTGTTCCCAGGTAGAAATAAATCCACCAAGAAACACAAATAGACCTATCTTTTTTTTATTTTTGGGTGGCTGATGGGTTACTATTTCCATTCTGCTATTTCATGAAGAAATAGCCTTAATAAGAAAGACAGAAAAAACACACCTATCACTGAGCCATCTCCTTACACTTCAGCTGAGACCAGAAATAGATAAAGTGACCTCCTGGGCTCAGACATTTGAATGCTTTGATAATGCCCAATGCAAAGAGACAGATTCCAAAGGCTATGGGGTCCTGGAAGGTAATCTGGAGGTGCGTAACTTGCCCATGTTGTAAGGGACCTCTGTTGGAAATAGCTGCTGGTGGGGGAATGAAATGGCTGCTAAAAAAGAGCCAAATTAATGCTGTGCCTTAAGATGGAACTCCAAAGTCAGCTGAAGGGATCCATTAAGACTGGAACACCCTGGGAATGAAAAACAAGGCCTGTCGGGGACACACCTGGGCCTTCCTTCAGCGCCTTGATGCAACAAAGGCTGCTAAGAAGGAGCAGCCTATGGAAAAGGCAGACTGGGAGTCAGGGACAGGCAAGACACGGCATCTGGGATCAGTTTTACCTGGCTGGATGCACTCACTGAAGTGGACTATCCAGAGGGTTCACCTGCAGATGGAGGGAGCTCAGCAAAGAAAGGTTGGATAGGTTGGATTTGCTTAGTCTGAAAAATAAAGATGGACCAGGAATGGCCAAAGACATACAGTACTCCAAATTTACTAGAAGCTGGTCAAACTCTGCTTTTCTCATCTGAGGATAAGAACTGAGATCACTTGAGCTAAGGAACAGTGAAGTCAAATTTTTCTGATTATAATTAAAATCTGAAGCTATAGCAATTATGATTTCCCCAAAATTGGGGATTTTAAGGATTTAGACAAACACAAACTGGAGACCACATTAGGAAGAAGACAAAGATGAGAGAGCCCCTCTGCATTAGCTGTATAAATACAAACAGCTCCATAACCATACATGAGCTGAGTGTAAGAGTAGCAAGTCCTGCTCAACACTGACCACCTTCCACCGCAGAACAAGGCCCCCCTTTCCCTGAGGAATTCAGCATGGCTATCCAGGAGCTCAAAAAAGGCCCATGAGACTAAGGTAGTGAAAATGACTGAAGAAAAAGACAACATCTGGAAACCGCAAGTCATGCAAACATGACTCTTCCTGAAATCAAGAAAGGCTGGTGCTTAAATCACCAGACCAAATCACAGAATATCCAAATTCCTCCCCAAACTGTGCCTTGAACCACAAGAATATCCTTGACTCAAGAGGAGCAACATTTCAGTGCTGTGACTGCAAAACCTTTCTGAGCAAAGCCTGTAAAAATGAAGCAGCAGCTGCAGTGGGCACAGTTAAAATTGAGAAACATAAATGGAGACTTTTTGCCCCCAGGCTCAGCTTCGAGCACCTGCTACCTGAGCCTAAATACATCTTCTCCAGACAGCCACAAGCAGAGATGTGCATCAGG